GGCGGCGCCCTCTCGGGGCCTCACCCAGCCCGGTGTACCCCCTCTTCCTGCGCTGCCTCCCCCCAGGACTCCAGCCCTGCTCCAGACCCTGGCCAGGCCGCACACCTGCCTGACACTGACCGCCCCTCTGTGGCAACGGCCGCCTCAGGGTGCACATGGCCGCCAGGCTCTCCCCTGCCCCTCGCTCTTCCTGGGTCCTGGCTGTCCCCGGGCCTGCCTGCCCCGCCCCAGAGGCCAGTCCGTCCTGGGAACTGGCCTCGCTGCGGGCTGTGCCAGGGGCAGCGCCCCGGGGCTGGGGCGCACGTCCTCTGGTCGTTCCCGGGGACCCTGACAAGGCTGTGGGTGCTGCCCTGGGAACTCAGCTCTGGGAGACGCGGCCTGGTGTCCAGGGCAGAGGCAGGTTGCTCACCAGCCCCAGCGTGGGAGCTGTGTCCAGCAGATGGACTGGCGGGGCCAGCACCAGGAGGGGCTCTCTAGGGAGGCCCGGCCACTGGGAGGTCCCCTGGGGCAGCCGGGCCAGTGGGCTGGGAGCTAAGGGCCTGTGGCTTCTTCTTTATAATCCTTTTACTTTAACGACTGAGCCTTCGTAGTGGCCAAGGAAAAGATGGACACACACAGGCTTCAGCTGGGCTGCCCAGGGCCACCCGAGCAGCTGGAAGCCGGGCCCAGATCGGGCCCAGGCCCGCCAGGAGCTGAGCGCCGCACCCCGAGCCGGGCAGGCAGGGACGGCCCCGGGCAGGAGCCGTGGTCACTGCTGGTGTCCACTGCCTCCCAGCACGGCCTGCCCGGCTGGCATGTCCAGCACAGGCCCACGGGGGAGACCCAGTGTGCCCACCCCTGCATGCGCGGCCTCACCTGGATCAGGCCGGCCGCTGGGTTCCGCCTCTTCTCAAAGTGCTTCTGTCGATGCTGCTCCTGGACTTTGAGGGCAAAGCCGGATCCCAGGATGCCCTGTGGTGCCGGGGTCCCGGGCAGCAAGGTCAGCTCGGGCCGGCCGCGGAGCCCTCCTTGCACGTGCCAGGAGTGCCCTGGCCGTCACCAGACCAGGCAGGACAGGCGTGGACCTGGGGCCCAGGAGGCCGCCGCGGGCGGGTGGGCGGGGGGCAGTGTCCAGGCGGCCTGCAGCCCTGCCTCTGCCGCCCGCCCGGTTCACTCCTGCGGGGCCACAGCCTGCCGGCGGGCTGGGGCAGCTGGACACGGGGGCCGCGGGCCCGGTCGGGAGCTGGCTCCTCTTGCATCCCAGTGGGGAGCTGCGGCACCCCACGGCCCTCCCGCCACGCTGGGGTGTGGTGGACTCACCGCGGGGAGAGCGAAGAATGAGACACCGATGAGGGTGAAGGTGGCGGCCAGAAGCCTCCCGTTCCAGGTCTGGGGGTACTTGTCCCCATAGCCGATGGTCGTCAGGGTGATCTGGGAACAGGGGCCCGCGTCACTGGGCTCGGCCGACCGGAGAGCTGAGGGAGACCCTTGGCCCCAGTCCTCGGGGCACCAGAGGCCTGGCCCCTGGACACTGGGCCACCTTGGGTGGCGCCCTTGGGTGCCAGATGGGACAGGCAGGGGGCCTCCCCCACCACCTCCACTAGTGTCCCCATGAAGACACCCTCCATGCCCCAGCCACACCACCCCCCAAATCTCTCCTCTTCCCTAAGGCTGGGCAGGGGCCACCCTCTTGGGGAGGGAGGCGCAGTGCCCATCAGGACGGGGAACCAGAGAGCCAGGGTCTGGGGCGTGGGGCCTTCGGTAGGTGACCCGTGTGTCCAGCTGAGGGGGGCTGCACCCCGTGTGAGCGGGGCCGCAGAGGGTGGCAAGGAGCGAGCAGTCAGTGCCTGGACAGGGGGCTGACTGCACATGGGGCCCGGCTGTCCATCAGGACCCACAGCGAGCATCCAGCCTGGACACAGGACCTGGCCTCAGGGCCGCTGTGAGGCTGGCCGGGGCAGGAAGCGCCTGGCAGGCCCCACAGGTGGCCCAGGACAGGCCCCGAAGAGACCATCTGCGTAAATGGAGGGGCTGGTCCCTCCCTCTGGGCGCCCCCAGGGCCCCGGCCCCAGCACCCCCCGGGTGGTCCGAGTCTGGGTGTGAACAAGCTGCCTCATCAGGATGGGCCCGCCAGGTCCGTCCACACGCGGGTGGACAGCAAAGGTGGGACAGGCGCAGCCGGGGAGCGGTCTCCTCAGGCAGCCTGGCCAGAGAGCCTGTGCCGCCGCGTGCTCCGGAGTGGCCAGCAGGCGGCCCCAGAGAGAGGCGCGCGGTCAGGCCAGAGCTCTGGCGCCCACTCACCAGTCCCCACCAGAGGGCGTCTGCGTAGGTGTCGAAGTGGTCGTTCTCCCCCTTCTCGGCCAAGTACACCAGGAAGGAGGCCAGGATCAGGCAGAGGAAGCCGATGTACCAGGCGGTCACCAGCTCCTGCAGGACAGAGGCACGTCCAGCCGCCGGTCCTGCCTCTCCAGAGGGCTTCGGGGTCTTCTGAGGGCTGCACAGGCCCCACGGCCGGGCCGGCAGCTGCTGCTGTGAGGTCAGCCTGAGCCGCCCAGCTGGGGGACCGGGCTCCTCACAGCTGGCCTCCGCGGACAGAGGGGGCAGTGGGGAGGGAGCTCCCGCCGGAAGGGTGTCCCTCCCTGAGCGCGCAGGCCGACTGAGCCTTCGTAGTGGCCAAGGAAAAGATGGAC